CCAAAGCCAGAGGGGGACAAGCACCCACCGAGAAAGGGTGTGCCAAAACCGGACATGCTGCCCGGCTAGTTCCGCTAAACAACCCCCGGGAAATAACAATATTAGGGCAGGGAAATTGGCATATAAGCTTTGGGACTAATTTTGCAGTTAGCACTAGAAACTCCGGCTTTTTATCAAATTCTTCAAAATTTTAGATTTCCGAAAATCACTTTTTCGAAGGACAAACAGCGAAAAATTCATACTTTCGACGATGCTGTTTTTGAAAGTCAGAATTTCAAGCATTTTTCTAAAACCGTATTTCCAAAAACCAGAAATTTTGAACATTTTTCGGTACCAATTGAAACAGGCTATCAAACGTAACTGTCAATTTTTACAAAAATTTCTTGTTGAATAATAATTTTTGAAGATACGACTTTTCGGGAAATCGGTTCACGACAAAATTCGTTTTTTTCGGGAAAGTGTCTAGCGACCCGCATTTCAGGAGACAGAAGGATAGTGGATGGTAGACAAAATCCAAATTTATTCCAAGAACCAAAACGTCATATCACCGTTTTCGGGATGTACCAGTAAGTAATCCAAGTAGTGCAAGGAAAACCCCGCCGCCACCGGAAACCCGTGAATTAACGCCGGGGGCCCTGAAATCCATGGACGCTTCTCCGGAATGGCCGAAGGCCGTTCCTCTCGCCCCACGAGACCTCGAAACAACCAGAAAAAGTAATTGAAAGGAGGGGATTTCCGTCTTCCGGGCCGCCCTAGGGAATGTCGTAGCGACTAGAGCCGAAGGGGAAAGCGGAAGCCGCCGGCATTCAATGCGGAAAAGATGAAAAATGGCACCGCATTTATTTGTCGTGGCTGGCGGACGGCGGGGACGACGAGAAAATCGAGGGGGATTTTGGAAGGATGTAATGGACTGCCACTACAGGAGGATGGAAGAAAATGACGGCGTAGAAAGCGAGAAACGGCCTTTTCGCTTAGTCAGCTGTAAAAAATGGGACATTAGGGTTGCAAAAAGCGGTTGGGAGCCAGCGAATAATTTTTAAAAGCTGTGCGAGAGAGAATGAGTGCGAGAGACCGGGTTAGAGAGTGCGAGAGTAGGAGAGAGAGAAAGAGAGGTAGAGAAAGAGAGAGAAACAAAGAGCGTGAGTGAGACAGAAAGAGAGCGGGGGAGTGAGTGAGATAGAGACAGGGCGGGAGAGCAAGTAAAGAGTGTAGACGCCGCGGGACAGAGAGAAACAATTATTTAGCGCGAAATAGCAATATTTAGGCTCAGCGGAGGAGAAAGAATTAGAGAGCGAGAAAGAGACACAGAGAGTGAGAAAGAGAGAGAGCGAGAGAGAGAGAGAGAGAGAGAGAGAGAGAGAGAGAGAAAGAGAAAACGTGAATAAATACAGATCGAAATGGAGAAATGTTGGATAAGAGAGATATGGAAACTGAATTATGCAACGAGACGTGGATAACTTCAAATCAGAAACCTAGCGATTTATCCCAAACTTAAGCGCTGCTTTTTCCACCGATTAGTGTGGTTTTTACCTATCTAAAGCGCTTTGTTATGTCCCTCAAAAGTCAACTGCCCAAAATTTTTACTCCCCCAGCAGCGCTCGGGGCTATAATTCATGCGGGCCGAGCCGTGTGAAAGGCTTCAGCCCAAGAATGAAAAAAGCTCGTTCTGACGGCCAGCCATACTTATTCAGAGGCGCCTCCAGAAAACATAGGGAACGCGGGAGCACCACTAAAAACGACGACGCCCCAAAAAAAGTTGACCGAATGGCCCCCGTGAGCCTCGAATCTGGAAGGCGAGTCTGAAATCCGATCCTCTTTTTCCTTTCCGGGCACGCCACTGAATTATTGCTGCCGGGCGCGATGTTGCGAGTTGGAGAGCGGAAATGGGGAGTTGAAAGTAATGGTGAAAGTGCCTTGGGGGTAAAAGTAGGAATTTTTATACTAGAAATTTTTTAGGTATTATTAAGGGATAAGGAACGCCCAGTAAATTTGGGCTCATCTATAATGGGCAACGAGCCAGCCGGAAATGCAAATGCAAAAAAATGGACAAAGCTTTGCATTTGCAATTGTCAATTTTTCCTGAGCCTTCCTGGTCCGCTTAACGTAGCGTAACGTTAACGTCTCGGTATTACCAGAGCAAGGTCAAGAATTCCCAACAAAGCCGAGAAAAAGGAAAAGACTGGCACAAATATGCAGCCGATGTAAAACCGCTATCTGGCGCATTAATGAAATATATGTAATTACCCAACGTGGTACGAAAGCCGTTTTTTTTAGACCAGGAAGGTAGTCGCATTAAAAAGATGTATGGAAAGCGAAATCTAAGGTTTCCTCTCCACCCTAAAATATCGTAAAATAGGAAAAATCAACGGTTATTGAAAATGTTAAAATAGGGAGATAAATTGTACAGCAAATAGCTCACAAAAATAATTTTCAGGTCAGAAATAACGAACTTGTATTTTTTCACGTCGGAAATTTGAATTCATAATTACAGGGGAAATTAAAGAGTCTAAGAATGTCTTTGAGACAGCCCAGACCTAGCTGAGAACCCCAAAAGACGCGGAGAGAAATTCTTGAATATTTACCGCATCCGAAAATAAGATAGAAAAGGTTGAACACCATTTTTTGGATCAAGAATTTTGGGTATCATTGAATTCAAAATCATTTTTCTTGTAAAAATTGCAACACTCTGGTAGCCCTTCTTTAAAAAACTCCCAAATTCGCTGCTTTGCCTCCCCTAGGTCTCACTCACACAAATGCAAATGTTGCGGGTTGGCGCGCGCCAAAAAATGTGGGAGAAATGTGGCAGCAAGGGGTGTGCCGTGTAGCCGTGGGGGTATGGGAGTGGCCAGCCCGCGCGCATACAACAGCTGGTCGCAATTCCCCCTCCATTATTTATATGCAGATTTCGGGGCGGTGGTGGGATGGTGGCTGGCTTGCGGTTGTCCCGATGGCAGCATTCCGAAGGGGTCGGAATTAGTAATGGCGTGGAATGGATGGAACTGAGTTTCAAGCGGCCTTAATCTGAAACTCATGCAAAAATTGGGATTTAAAAACCGCGAATTAGAGGAAAGTAGAAAATATTATAAGTAATTATGATTATTAGGAGTTGTGTTCTGAGCCATCGAAGCATTTTAATGGAAGTAGCTACATTTTGAGCAGACTTCAAGCAGGTAGTAATGGAAAACCAAATCTAGACTTTAGAAAATTTTACTCATTAATTACGCACTTGTTTTCAAATTTGAAAAAGTTTGAACAGAAACTACAAACTAGCAATTTAAGTGAAAAAAATCTATCTCGCTGGGTTTTAAAGACATCAAAAATCGCAAGAAAATCCAAAAAAATGAATTCTGGTCCTGAAAAACGGCTTGCTTAAATTTCATGAACAAATATTCGGTCATACATTAAATTGAATGAATTAATTACCTTAGACAGGCATAAAAGGCACTCAAAAAGCCGTAGAAAAGGATGAAAAAGCGTGGAAATTTTTCAAAACAAAAAGGGAGTTGAAATGGGATCAGCAAAGACGAATTCGACGAATTCCAATTTTTGAAAAAGAATACTATAGGTAAATTGCTGCAAAATTATAGTAAAAACTACCAACAAATAATAGAGAAAAAATAAATATGTCCATCCATCTCGAGCAGTAGCCTGCGGCTAGCTCCTTTTCCAGCCACCCACTCCTGGAAATGTCTGCTTGTGGCTAGAGGGGCTCTCCCGCGCACTCCAATCGATCTGTGGGCCATGGCTTGGGGCCCAAAATGAAGAGACGTGGAGGGTGGCATGGAGAAAGGCCTTTCTCTCTCTCTCTCAGCATGTACCCCTGGCCTTTTATAGTGGTGGATTGGGGTGGGGGAATGGGTGCGAGCTCTGGGTCTCCGTGCTAAAATGTTCTCCCTCTATCTCTCTCGCTCTCTCTCTCTCCTGCCGGCGCGGGCCATTAGCCGGATTAGAAATTACTCAAGTGGAGGAACGGAGGCTGGAAATTCGGGCGCACCGCAGAGTGCTATTTAGGGCCTGGCCTTAAAAGGATTGGAGTGGAAATTGGGACCTAAACTTCGAACCACAACAACTATAACGGGGAGAAAGAGAGGGAGGACTAGTGAGAGAGCGAGAAACAGAGAGAAAGCGAAGGAGAGTGAGAGAGAGCGAGAGAGTGAGCGAGATGGACCTTTGGAGATAGAGAGAGAGGGGGAGAGAGAGAGAGAGAGAGAGAGAGAGAGAGAGAGAGAGAGCGAGAGAGAGGGGAGAGAGAGAGAGAGAGAGAGAGAGAGAGAGAGAGAGAGAGAGAGAGAGAGAGAGAGAGGGAGAGAGAGCGAGATAGAGAGAGGGGAGTCACAGCGCGAGCGAGATGAGCTAGCTAATATTGGAGCGAAATAACAGTCTTTGATGTCATCATCCCTTTAGAAGTGGCAAAGAACCAAAGTGACAGCCTAAGCTATAAATTAAACCTTTTCACGGCTTTTTAAGGTTGTTGAAAACTGCTACTGCAAATTGCTCTTGTCGACGTCATCGACATTGTTTATTTGCCAAACCGCAAACAATGATAGGCAAAAAAAAATAAAAACCCGTGAGTTTACAACAAAAACGTGCCAAATTTTGGACACGTGATCATGCCCCCGTTCGCGGCTGAGCATCGCGTAAATTAAACAAAACACGCAAAAGTTTGGAGAGTGGGAGGAGCGTGCATCAATGCGAGCAGCACATTTATGGATGGCCCTTGAGGGCTTAGTTGCCAGTTGTATACTCCTGAAAAGTGGTCCTAATTGGGAGGTATACGACGTTTAATAGCAATTTTTATTCCTTTTTAATACTGCTATTACCCGCCAGTACACTTCTAGCGATCGGATTCCACGCCCAATATTGCAACTTGGTCTGCTAGATTTGCTATTTGCTATTCGGGATGATTCCCTATGTTTGGTCGCCTAAAGGGCGATTGAAGCCAAACATCTTGGCTACGGTATTCCTGCTATGCAAATTTTCTATAGTTCAAGCGTCGGATTATGAAGATACCGATAGTCACTGCTATGTTGGCCCTGGAGTATATTTTTTGTATTAAAAATTATGAAAATCAATCATAGTAACAAAACAAAAAGTTTTTATTATTTTTCCGGATGTCCTTGAAAGAGCATTAGCGATTTTCGGACTTTTATAAACCACATTTATTATATTTTTAGGGTTCAAGGCGTGGTTTCTGGCAAAAACGCGAATTTTGCTTTGAAATGTTGTTTTGTCTTCAAAATGGTTGTTCAAATCGATCTCTAAATTGCATAGTAACTCTTGTACGCAATTCGGCTATGGTATTTCAAACAAAATGAATTCGTAGAGAAATCATGGAGCAAGTAAATCACCGCAATTTGCAAATTATTACAGCGCTCAGTGGACACGACGGCCCCGTGCCTTGACACGACATGTGGAACATTTATCGAATGGCAGCAAAAAAGCCGACGCTGCCGACCGCGAACAATACGTCGAATACATGTGCGGTGACGGACGGGGCGTCTGCGAGGGATGGGAGGAGCATGTAAGCGGAAAAATTAGCATAGAAACTAGGCGTAACCATACCGCAAATTACCCCTTAAAGGGATACCCAACCTTTTTCGGGGCTCAAAAAGCAAAAACCATGCCGCGGGCGGGGGGTCGAACCCGTGACCACCGTTTTGTAGGCCTGGATGCTATCCATTAGGCCATAGTGGCAAGCCATTGACGGGGAGGGGGACGCCACAAGAGGGAAAGGTGTCCGAATTTTGTGCGGCGATGGGCGCCCATTGGCGCACAAAATTCGCGCGTCATTTGTACTTGCCGGAATACATAACTATATATTTGCCTCCAAAACCTTGGGTGTCCCTTTAAAGTCTTTTCGGAGTTATTGGGACCAAACCTGTAAAAAATTCCCAATCCAAAAATTTTGTATGATACATCTCTTTTTAGGTAGATTACGTCGAATGCTTCAGTTTTGTTTAATTTTCCGGAAAACGGCTTCCTCAATATTTTTCAGGAACGTGAATTCCACGCCGGAAAGGACGGCAAAGTGTTATATGGACAGATGCATTGCTGTCATGGGGATTACTGTAATCGGGTGCGGTGTCATATTTTCCTACATTCTCCTGCGATTTGGCTTTGTCTTTTTTTTTGTTTGACCTCTGATTTAATTCTTCTCGTGGTATAAAGTCCAAGTTTTAGCCCAACAAGACGCTACTCGAAATAAGTCGGCAGAAAACCAGAAAAGACTATATAAGTGATTCTGAAGAAGACAAAGACGATTCGGAAGTGGGTTTATTGTACCACCAGTGGAAAAAGACCGCTCCGCGGCCATTTTCCACTGGACCCCGTCCAGGAATCATGAATTTGAATACCTTCGTCTTTTAGCCTGCGGCGCAAGGACCTTAGTAATGGCGCTATTCTTTGGCCTGCGGCGCTAGAGCCAGCGTTCCGCTAGAACCTTTGAGCCTGCGGCGCTAGTTACTGGTTTTTCTCCAGGATCTGACCTGCGGCGCGAGAGCCTGGGTCCAGGAGCTTCTCTTGGGCCTGCGGCGCAACAGCGAGAGCCAAGCCTAAATCTCGCACACCGAGAGCCCAGAAATATAGCTAGTTGCTAAACTATCAAAAAGCAAAAAGTTCGATTTGCCCAGGATCCGAACCCACGACCATAGGTGTGGTAGGCCGGGCGTAAATCCACTACGCCATGGGGTAGATGGCAACAGGCGGCGGGAAAGCCCTCTTCTGTTCCGGGGAAGGGGGCGGGGAGGCACAGAATGCCCCAGGAGGGAGGCCTTCTGGTCACTTCACAAAATTAAGTTTTTGAGTCTGAATCTGCAGAAAATTTTTAAAGATAATAAGATGCGCGTGATCCCCACTATCGAATACATAACTGCTCCAAATTTCAGCCCGAAATTCCAAATTCGAAGCGAGTTATGCCCCGGACACCACGGCCACTGGCCCATTTTGTTAAGGATTTTCACCATTTTGCTTGTAAAATTGTTAGATGAAGGAATTTCGAAAAACAAAAAAATGCGTGTCTGGCAAATGCGTTTCTCCACCTGCATGCCAAAAATCAGCGCGAAATTCGGCCTGACGGCCGAGAAATCGTCATTACAGAAAACAAACATACTTTTCTCGCTTATAGGATAGGATATAATCAATTCATTTCCTGATTTTGTCATCTTTATACCTTTTTTGGGTTCATTTATTGTTTTAATTGTTGTATTTAGGAAACATCCACTGCGAACGAGCCAGGATCTTCTAGTTTCTGCACATTTTTCCTTGTGATTATCGCCTTGATAAACTTGCTGTGATGAGATAAAGCTTGATCTGCTCTTTATGGATTTATACACAATATTTTTGTCGCGATGTGTCGATATGTCGCCATTTTTTAGGCGCTTCGCAATGTCCTCTGCTGCCAAGCCCTAAAGTTTCGCGAAAACCAGTTGACCCTAGCCTCGATTTTATCGCCAGATCTCCTGGGCTTTCCGCTTAAAGCCACTTCCCGATTTTTCCTAGCACATCACTCTGCTGCCTAAATTGCGGGAAACGAATATTCATCGCGTTATTCAGACGCATTCAATCAATTTATTTCTGGTTTCACCGATTGTTTTTCCGAATTCAAGCTTGGGTGGAACGGAAGGAGGTTCCGCAGGGATTGGTGGGTTCTGGGAGAGAGAGAGAGAGAGAGAGAGAGAGAGAGAGAGCGAGAGAGTCTGTGAGGGAGAGAGAGATACAGGGAAAGCGAGAGCGAGAGAAAGGATCAGCGAGAGAGACAGAGAGAGAGCGAGAGAGAGAGAGAGAGAGAGAGAGAGAGAGAGAGAGAGAGAGAGAGAGGACAGAGAGAAAGGGGGAGAGCGGCAGGGAGAAAGAGCATGATAAACCTAGAAACCCGTCTACTATCTAATCGCTGCCAGTCTCTTTGTATTATGGGCCTCACCTCGAAATCCTTATGGGGAATATGGACCATATAATTACTATTATTGGGTCGATTCGGAGAACGAGCGGTATCAGGACATCGGTGAGTCGTTATTAAGCCCTACTTCCAACTACTTTATTAATATTTTTTAGGCTTCCAATACTCCCATTCTCTCCCCAACCTCACCGGCTATGAAATCATCATCTACAAGGCTTACTTCGATAATAGGTACAACCTTGCTTTTGAAAGTGCCCATGCTCACGCTAAAATTCGTGGAGGCTGCATTTGTCTAGCTGTTACCGTGCCTTTAACGTCTCAAAAACCTCCTCTAGAGAACGGCCCCGGATCCGGTTACACGCCTTCGTCCCAAATTGCGACAAAGTACTACCGGAATTGAC